CCTAATGCTGGCGCTGGTTTGCCCGCAATGCATACGTCTGCTGACTTATCGTGTAGATATGCCAGATACAGACGTATACTCTCTAACAGGGAGGGCTCCCGGAGCCTACCCAATTGGTAGCGAGAGCCAGGCGCCGACTCTTTCGTCATTCGTGCTACGGGGGGAAGAGCGGGTCAGCAAGTCCGGAAGGTGGGGGGACTGCAGATTGTGTCAAAGTGTCACCCTGGATGAAGTTGACGGAGGGTATAGGCACGGCTGCCTCGCGACTGCGCCCTCCAGAAAGGTTAGCGGAGGTGGTGCAGTTGCAGTAGCAGCTTGCCTATCGCGAATCGATGTGTCGCGTATGCCTTGGGATGAGGTTGCCTGAGGAGCACTGCGTTGTAAGTTTGCAGGCTCCGTTGGGATGCGACCCCTCCTTCTGGCATTGGCGTTTCCACGATCCGCTCCGTTATAGCCCGGCGGGGAAGTGTTTTGGCCTGTCACATTCCTCATGAAGTATGAATGCAAACTAGACCCCCACTTGAGCACAGAGTGTACTGCGCTGTTCTTAAGCGGCTGTGGCATCCGCAACAGTTCTACCGTTGGTTGGTTGCAGCGGTGGAAGACTCCGCGCGCGCCTAGAATTAGCGGCGCAAATGTCATAGTCTTCTCAGGCCATTTCCTGGCTGCCGCTGCTATGAACATGTCATTGTTGTAGACTGCCTTTTTATTTGCCCCACAACAGAAAGGGGCAAATCTCCATCCCATGACACCTGGACGTCACACACGACGCTTTGTCCTGCTGGTGGATTACCAGATCAGGCCTGAAGAGCGTGCCGTCTGCATGTCGGACATGTGGCTCTTTCTCTACCACCCAACCCTGCTGCTTGCAGTGTGTCTCGACCTTTGCCACAATTTCATTGTGTCTGGATATCCTTGGGTGGTGAGTCACAGGACATCCTTGAAGGACGTGACAGATGGTTTCCACTTTGTCGCACCCTCCTCTGCATTTGCGCAGTTCCGGTGGGTTGGATGGTATACCCACCGTCGGAAGGTTATTAGTGCGTAGGTGGACCGCTCGGACATAGTCACGTCCGGTCCACCCTGCAGGTCTTATTGGTAACCAATTTCTGCTCGCAGGGTCGTCTTTACATTGCTCCAGTCCCTTACTGAAGGGAGAAGTCCTAATGACGTCACGCCAGTGGTCTCGAGGTGGTACCGGCCAGCCAAATTCCTCAGCCTATCGGCAAGGTGGGCTATATACGGAGATTCCAGTGCTCTTCTAAGCTTGAGGTCATAGCCTCTCAACCTCAGTTTCTCCATTCTTGCATGCATCATCCGTGGGATGGCGTGTCGTAACTGGTTAGTCCTAACCCGCCATCCCTGAATGACGCATACAAGAATTGGTCAGGTGTTGTGACCGCTAGATGCAAGATGCACTTGAATCTGTGTTTGATGAGTCTGTCTGCCTCACGTAGGATCTTGCCATTCACCTTTGCATTCTGAAGCCATACAGGACTTTAGGTAGTACAAAGTCCCGGATAAGCCCAGCCTTTTGGTCGGGCTTCAAAGTGCGGCATCCACGCGACGCAGCCATGTTGCCAAGTTGGAGTTATTTGGCTTTAATACACCAGTACCACTGAACTCATGTCCAAGGTATTTAAACGAGTCCGTTACTCCGATATCGCGTAACCGGTGGCCATCTACTGAAATGTTGTTATTTGCATAGTATATGCGCTTGTTGTTGGAGCGCGCTACCATGGCCGTACATTTGCGGGGATTGATTGCCATCCCCCTGGACTTGCAGAATTTAGACACAGCGCGAAGCGTTAGCGGGAGGTTCAATTCATTATCCTCCAGCAATACCAGGTCATCGGCAAATGCTAATGCCGGGACCCTTATTCCTGGAGCTATTGAACCCCCTACTTCCGCTTTGCGTTCCAAATCTGTCAAGAGCTCATCCACCACGAGATTGAACAGAACAGGGCTCAAAGGGTCACCCTGTTGACTCCTCTCGTTATATTGATTTGTCGAGAGGAGCCGTTGTTATGTTTGATGGTCGTGGATGAGCATGACACGTTGTTCATAATATATTCTGCAAGGGGCCTAGCGATCCTAAACCGGCGGAGGGCCCTTTGCAAGGACCAATGCGACACGCTGTCAAAAGCTTTCCGTAAGTCTACGGTAATGACAGCGTGTGCTTTCCCCTCCGCCCGTCTAGACTGCACGTAGGCCTCCAGGATGAGGCAATTGGCCATAGTGCCATCTACGTTAGTAAAGCCTCTTTGACTGAGGTTCAGTTCGACAAAGGCACTTATCCTTGCGGCAAGCACCCTGTGAAATAACCTCATAAGGGCTGAGCTGATTGTGAGTGGCCTCCAGTTCGCGGGGTCCTTCCTATCTCCGTCCTTATAAATAAGGATTGTCCTGGACGTCTGCCATGCTGTGGGGACAATTCCGGAGAGGAGGACTATGTTAAATACCACTGCTAGGACGTCATTTGGTATCGCTTTAACAGCAACGACTGTTAAGCCGTCAGGACCAGGAGCGTTGTTGGGCCAGTCGGCCTTTGCTCGAAGCACGTCGTCCCCCGTAATTGGGACTAACTCCTGGTCGTGCTCCGACGCAAAGGTCACTGGCTCTTCGTCAACAGGCGAATCGGCCTCAAAAAGAGGACCAAAGTGATCGACTGCATCGTTTAAGTTTAAGCAGTCGTCACTAGCTTCGCCTGTGTCCCCTCGCAAGATCTTATCGGCGAGGGAGGATCTAGACTTCATGAAGAGGTCTTGAGCCTTTTTGTAAGCCGCCGACCTGTCACTGGTAATGGGTGTGACACGGCCGTAGTTGTACTCACGCCCTTGTCTTGGGGCGTTATTCTTGGCTGGTCGGCGGGTGCTCCTGTGTCTTCTGGCAGACTGCGTCATAGTTACTCCCGCCGTTTACCCGCGCTTGCTTGAATTTCTTCACGTTGACATTCAGAGCACTGGGCAGAAATCACATTGAGTCAACACCCGCAGGGGCCATCTCAATGCTTTGTTTTAATTAGACAGTCGGATTCCCCCGGTCCGTGCCAGTTCTGAGCTGACCGTTGAATGGCGGCCGAAGAGGACACCAGAACGCCCTTGCGAGCGCACTCTGGGCCTCGCAGCAAGACGGTTCCGCGGGAGGCCAAGGCACGGTACCGAGTTCGGATCCGCAATCCTACCGCACACGCGCGAACGCATACGACAGAACGTTTCACCTCGCCCAGGCCCGGCACGTCAGCCGCGACCCGCTTCCTCGCCAAGCCCGACACGCCCCGATCCTCAGAGCCAATCCTTATCCCGAAGTTACGGATCCAATTTGCCGACTTCCCTTACCTACATTATTCTATCGACTAGAGGCTCTTCACCTTGGAGACCTGCTGCGGATATGGGTACGAACCGGCGCGACACCTCCACGTGGCCCTCTCCCGAATTTTCAAGGTCCGAGGGGAAGACCAGGACACCGCTGCAACTGCGGTGCTCTTCGCATTCCAAACCATATCTCCCTGCTAGAGGATTCCATGGAACTCGAATGCTTATGCAGAAAAGAAAACTCTTCCCTGGTCTCCCGACGGCGTCTTCGGGTCTTTTTGGGTTACCCCGACGAACTCTCTTGCGAGGGCCCGACTATTGTACGGTTCCGCTGCCGGGTTTCGGAATAGGAACCGAATTCCCTTTCGCCCGACGGGCGTGTTCTTTATATATACACACATACATACATATATTTATAAAACAACGCCACATCAACATCGGCTTTCGCCTAGGGCTTAGGATCGACTGACTCGTGTGCAACGGCTGTTCACACGAAACCCTTCTCCACGTCAGTCCTCCAGGGCCTCGCTGGAGTATTTGCTACTACCACCAAGATCTGCACCGACGGCGGCTCCAGACGGCCTCACGGCCAGCCCTTCTGCGCGCACCGCCGCGACCCTCCTACTCGTCAGAGCTTCATGGCCGATCCGTTTTTACGCGGATCGAGACCGCACATGCCGCTGACGGCCGAGTATAAGCACGACGCTTCAGCGCCATCCATTTTCAGGGCTAGTAACTGCGGCAGGTGAGTTGTTACACACTCCTTGGCGGATTCCGACTTCCATGGCCACCGTCCTGCTGTCTTAAGTTACCAACGCCTTTCATGGTATCCCATAAGCGTCGATTTAGGCGCTTTAACTCGACGTTTGGTTCATCCCACAGCGCCAGTTCTGCTTACCAAAAATGGCCCACTTGGCACTCTGATTCGATTCTCGCAGCTTCATTAGTTCGAGCAAGCCGGAGATCTCACCATTTAAAGTTTGAGAATAGGTTGAGGTCGTTTCGACCCAATGCCTCTAATCATTCGCTTTACCGGATGAAACTCGTCACAGACGAGCGCCAGCTATCCTGAGGGAAACTTCGGAGGGAACCAGCTACTAGATGGTTCGATTAGTCTTTCGCCCCTATACCCAGTTCCGACGATCGATTTGCACGTCAGAATCGCTACGGACCTCCATCAGGGTTTCCCCTGACTTCGTCCTGACCAGGCATAGTTCACCATCTTTCGGGTCCCAGCGTGTACGCTCTTGGTGCGCCTCTTCTCGTAATGAGAACGAGACGCCCCGGGAGTGCGGAGCGGCCGCTTTATAGACGTGCCGCCCATCTTCCCTAAATCCGCGCTAGGCGGATCTTTACTTTCATTGCGCCTTTAGGTTTAGTTATGTCCCAATGACTCGCGCACATGCTAGACTCCTTGGTCCGTGTTTCAAGACGGGTCCTGAAATTACCCAAAGCTATAGCGTCGCAGATCGGCGTTCAAACGAGGTCTGTCCGAGAAATCCGCACGACCAACAGTCGTCCGGGGACGGAACCGGGCGCTAGGTCCGATCGCCGTCTTAGCATCGAACGTGCTTGTCGTGGGTCGGACGCTAATTGAAGAAGTAGCGGCCTCGCGCCATCTGTATACCGTCGAGCGAGTCGGCCGGAACATCGCGGGTTCGAGCACGAATCGCCGAAACGATCGTACACGGACTCCACCGCGAGCCGTAGACCGACACCCAACGGATCGCGACGTCCTACTAGGGGAAAAGTGCACGCGTTCGACGCCGGATCGAAAAGCGAAAGGCGCGGACGACGCGCGAACGCCGTCCGTCGCGCGACCGCTCATCGCCGACGGCCGAAACGCGAATGAATTTCCCCTTTCGACCTTTCGGGTTTCTCAGGTTACCCCTGAACGGTTTCACGTACTCTTGAACTCTCTCTTCAAAGTGCTTTTCAACTTTCCCTCACGGTACTTGTTCGCTATCGGTCTCGTGGTCATATTTAGCCTTAGATGGAGTTTACCACCCACTTAGGGCTGCACTCTCAAGCAACCCGACTCTGAGGAGAGATC